CTCATCAGAGTATTTTACAAATTTTTCCAACATCGTGTTGAGAAAAAGATGATGCACGACGTATTTTACTACATCTGAATGATTAATGCGTAATTCGAAATGAATTTATTGCCAAAATCGTACAAAATAACTTGCTCCATCAAATTCTGGGATTTTTCAAAGTTTAGATCCCGAAATCGGGATCAGAACTCAAATCGCGGGATCCCGTGCAAACCCTAGTTGTAAGAAAACATCAAATCAATTTCGCATTTCAATGAACTGACAATGACAAAAAGCTTTCTGCAGTGATCCCAGCATCTCCCCTAAACCATTTTCGCACTAATGCAAGGATCTAAAAATGAATATTCCTCTGCTCTTTCAGTCAAAAGTAAGATGTAAAAGTGGATAAATAAGCAGACAAAGTATAAACAACAATTTTATTGTTTAATAACGCAACAAAGCACAATAACACGTCAACTGAATAATAATAACAAAATGAATCTGATTCTGATAGATGTTCCTCTTTTAACGGTTCGATTTAGCAACACGTTCCAATTCGTCCTTCTTTTTGATTGCATACGAATTGCTTGATCCTTTGGCAGCATTGATCAACTCATCAGCCAAACATTCTGCGATTGTCTTGATATTACGGAATGCCGCTTCACGAGCACCGGTGCACAACAACCAAACTGCCTAAAATTACACACATCGATCAGTTTGATATGTCTCTAATCCAATCCAAATTCTCAGAAGACAGATGACCACAATAGATTCCCTCGCAGAAAATAATGAGAAGTCATCACACAATGGATTCTAACGGATCACATCTAAAATGCAACTGTTTTTGGCTCAGATTATCTGCATAACAAAAAGATGAAACACCAAGAAACATTCACGTGTCAGTCGCACCTTTCACACAAAGCTGCGTTATTCGTGCCAACGTTCAATAATCAAATTCGGAATAATAGAATGAAAAAAAAANAACCTCTCCAGAAAGAAGATGAATAATTTCGAAGGCGTGTTTCACGATACGTACTGTCATCAGTTTCTTGCCATTGTTACGTCCATGCATCATCATCGACGACGCAAGTCGTTCAACGATTGGACAAGTTGCCTTTCTGAATCGTTTCACTTGATAACGACCGGCCGAATGTGGCAGATACTTGGCTGATTTATTCTTCACTGCCACATAATCCTGAACACAATCACAACTTTATCATCGGCAGTCTATGTGAATAAGCTGACGTTCACTTGAACAAGTCTTATCGAAACCTTCGTCATATGGCACTCTTTCATCGGTCACCTAATCCATTAAAAAACAAACACAGTAAAGTCGTGAAAATGATAATCGAAAAAAATTCGAAACTTAGAAGCGATACGCATTGCAGCAGAATAAGTACAAGAATACTTACGTGAAACGAATAATAGTTTTGCAATTTTGCTGGCAAAGCTGATCGTAATTCAAAAAAAAACGCACTCCATGTGCTTATCGCAATGGATTAGCACATTTATAAGTGTGAACAAACAGATAAAGTCTGAATACAATGCCTCTCAAACAGAGGCATGACATCCTGACAGATGAATAAAAACAACTTCCGCTCATTTGAACCAAATACTCAAAAGAAGTTGAAGAGAAGAATTTTCACGTGGCCTTGAAATGACTCCTGATCGCAAGCAACATGAAGAATGAATGGAACCCAAGAAAGGATTAACAACTTCGATGATAATAAATGGAGCAACAGCAGAAAAAAAACGAACCACAAGAGAAATATCGGATACATGAACTTCATCAAGTGACCATTTCCCGAACAGTTTCACCTCAGGCAACTCAGCCTGTCCCATTGGTTCGTCCATGACCACCATTTCATTGCTCTCTGTCACCCATTCCTCAGCCATATTTTCTGATTCCTTTATATTATTACCAACTTACCCTCTACTTCTGAAAAATTTGTTAACAATACACCAGTTTCTTACAAACAGCGTAAGTAGAGCTTAGATCTCGAAAAGATATAAATACATAGCGAACTATGGGAAAGTGAACATAAATATGGTGAAACATAAAAAAGATTGAGCAGAATGTTTACAAATACAATCGAACATTTCTGATGAACTGACGACTCGAGGATGACGATTTTTGTTCAAGAACTCAAATGGAGGCAACTTGATTTCGAAGAAAGCTTCAATAACGAAATGCTTCAGAATCAAGGAAACATAAAATCACTAACTCAACCAATCTAGATGAACGTACTAAAAATAACTGAGAAACGAAGTGTTACGAAAAAATATACAAGAAATACTAATAAACGAAAAATTTTCAAGAATGAATAAACGTCATAAATAATAAACAAACACCTCGAAAAAACAAAGAATACGATAAAGTAAAACAACCAGACGGACACTGATGGAGTGGAATAAAAAGAAGACAACTTTATATTCGAAACATCCTCAAAACTGATAAGTTTACTGATTATTCGGTGAATATTTTTAGGCAGATGACTGCTGTAGAAAATTTAACTGCGTGATGTTCGCGAAAAACGCATAATATATAATTTTATGTGGTGCAAAGCAATTGCTCGAATCCAGGAAATACCTAAACCATCACTTATTTCAAATCAAAATCATGCCTTCACAGGTAATTTCTTCACGCATCTCTCATCGATTAACACTGAAACCTCACAGAGTTTTGTATTAGGGAAGGTTATGTGGTCGTGTTACGCCAATTTTAACACTTCGCAAAATTAACAAAGTAACGCTGCTCCACGCTCTATCGAGAAACTGTTTTACGATTCTAAAATTCCTATGGAATGCGTGAGTTGAATGAGCGGTACTGAACGAAGCAAGGTTGACAGCACGAAAT